GGAAGGAAGGAAAACTGAGCCGATTTTTTGTCCAAAATTTTGGCTGCCAAGCTCAGCTCTATGGATTGCTTACAAAAGAAAGAAGTAAGTGCCCGGTCCTGGAACAAAATGACCCAACCTGAAACCAGACAGCTAGACGCTGGTGGTGCCACTTGACCAGTTAGCCCTGTGACCCTGCACTTGCTATTTAATCCCTTTGAGACTCACTTTCCCCATCTGTGTAATTATATTGACAAAGTTAATTGCCAGAAATTTAAATGAAATGGCGTTCCAAAAAGTACTGGTCAAGTGCCTGGCCCACAAGGACTCAGATATTAGTGAATTAATAAATGCTAGTGATTGTGATAAGTAATAATCTATAAAGCTCTGTATGAAATCTTTATGAGGGTGATGAGATGTAAGGGATATTTGGCCTTGAGAGCAGTGGATATGGGCAAAGTTTACAGGCAACAAACACATTTATTCACAAGAAATATATTCTTTTTTACCCAAGGGAAAAACCCAGGAAGAGTTCATGAAAACATGTTCAAGGATTCTGAACATAATCAAATGTAATAGGGAACATACAACATGGACAAGCCCATATTGAATCTGCAAGCTCAAATCTCACAACATCCCACTGGGAATCTCCCCGGAGGAACAACAACTTTTATTAAACTTTTCATGGACCCCACTGACATCCTCTAAGAAAATGTCAATTCCTTGGAAACACACAAAGATGTGTATATAATGTCAAACTTGTGTGTATATATATGTGTACATACACACACAAACACAGACAAGTATATATAATTTCACATTGCATTGATATATTAAGTTTTTTGTGAAAATTATTTTAAGTGCTATGGTAAATTATGTGTTGCACTAATTGGAACTGCTTGGAAAATCAGAAGCAAAAGGAACTCTCGGGAAATAAGCAGACTAATCCAGTTGACTGAAAAGTCTATCACGGAAACAAAAAAACTGCAGTGCAGAAGGAAGTGGCTGACTTGATCTTTCAAACTAACACTGCTCTCTGGTCAGCAGGGCATTTGTTTTAGCAGGTGTTGGAAAGTATGCATGGTGAACAGGAAAGAACACGAGCCCAAGGCTTGCAAAACTGGCCATGTGACCTTAGTTAAGAAAGTCAAGTTACTTTTCTCCCTTCTCAGTTTCCTCATCTGTAAAATGGCTATAAAAATTCCACCCTGCTTACTGCAGGAAGATGATCTGATCAACTCCCACATGGAGAACACTGGGCAGTGAAGTGACTCTCTGGAGGTCACATAGCTAATCAGTGACAGAATCAGGACTAGAAATAAGTCTTTTGAAGACTTGGACTTTCTGCAGCAACAAAGCTGCCATTGAAACAACAGATAGGGAAGTGCTTTGGAAAATGTAATAATAGTAAGGGTTTCGTTCAGTGGATGTGTGAGGAAGTATTTCTACCAAAACCTCAGTCAAGATCATCGCCTGGCAATTCATTAAGAGATGCCTTATGAGACTGTCCCTGTCCCTTCAGCGATAGCCATCCTTCTTTTAAAGCCAAATACAATCTGTTTCATTTCTCAACCAAGACACAAGAAGTAAACAATTAACTGAATTAATTCAGGCAATGAAGTGGATTTTCAATGACCTGACTTGTCCAAGCTAGTTTTCTACAAAGCCTCAATTAATCAGATAATTGCTAATTCTCTCTTTTGTTTTGTGCTGAAGAGAGTCTGTGTTTGTTAAAATGAACTGAGTAGCAGAATAAATAGTCATTAAAAATTTTTTAAGTCTCAAATCTGAACTAAATGACCGAGTTCTTGAGCATACTATTTCTTTAGGCATCTTCTCCAGTCATTACTTGAAAAGTTTAATTTTCTTTATCCTAATGTGAACATTACTACTGCTTTTGTGATTTAATGAGGACTTTTTAAGCAAACAAATGAAAAAATCAACCTAAGCTGGTAATTCAGAACATTGTGAACATGTTTTGTCACACTGTCAGTAGAACAAAAATTTAAATGCCTCTCTTGGCAGGACTAAAAACAGCAGTTAAATCTTTTAGATTAAATTCTTACTGACACATCTTAAAAACATAGTATGGTTTTAAATAATCTTCACTTAACAGCAATCAGAGTTTCAAAATTAAGCAAACAATGCTAATTATCCACCTTCCAATACTAGGAGGAAAGTTGAGAGAGCAATTTAATTAACAGGCTCTGAGAAATTAATCACATGTGAAACGAGATTCATTAGGCCTTTCCTGTCTCATAAGAATTTCAGACAAATGGCTAACTGGTCTCATCACTTACAATTTCTTTGTGGTTGAGCTGGCATTAAGTAGACTATTGTGATGATAAATATTTCACCCGAAAAACTTTTAAGATTAGACCATTACAATGAACTAATGTGAACATGGCGCTCTTACATTTCCACTGTATTTTCTAGCATCTCAATGTGAAGATCTTACACTGTGTGTGTGTGCACGCGCACGTGTGTGCAGGCACACATGTGATCACTGAGTTCACAAAACAAGGTAACTTTCCAATTCAGCACAGCCATATATTTTGGTTTCGCCATGCTGCACATAAACCAGTGAAAATGTGATTAAAAACTCTACGTGACATAATAACTTGATTACAAAGATAGTTTTCATGAACAGTTGGCCGATTTTAACTGACAACAGCTGTCACTGTAAATTTAAAGTAAATGTTAATTTAGGATATTAACCTTGTGAATGTTTGTCCATAAGGCTTGTGCTAGGTTCCAGGAAATCACTAGAGGATGTTTTAACCAAACTTAGCACAACTAAACCCTCACTGTTTGAAAATTCTTCAGTTTCACAAAGAAAGGGCTTTAATCATACTTGAATGCCTCTCCAGTGAGTCCCTTGAGAATACACACTGTAAGTAAATGTATTTGCTAGGTTGACATCTTGGAGGTGAGAGAATAAGCTGAAGAAACAGTATTGCCAGAGACGCACTCTGCGCTTTTATACGAGGAGACAAGGAAAGCGTTGGCGTCAAGTAGGGTTCCTCCGCCTGTTTACCGAGTAAAGCGACCTGTAAATACTTGGAGCAATTACAGCCCCAGACCTCGGGCTCTGCAGCGCCGGGTGTGTGCTAAAGTTAGCACTCCCTGTTTTGTCCTGTTGGAGCAACTCATTTCCAAGTAAAATGTGCACGACAGATTGCAAACCCTTTGTGCAAACTACTAACACCGCATGGAACAGCGTGTTTCCTCTGACCCGGACACGCAGCACAACGCTCGTGCTCCGTGGGCTAAACGCATCTTTTCCGAGAACGCGCAGGAAAAGTGAAGTGAAGAAGTGAACGCCACAACAGAACACAAAACGCCGTACCTTCAACGCACTGAACTCTTTCCAGGACTCACCCTTTCGGCGCCCGAGTTTCTCCTTGGCAGCACCTCTGTGCCAAGTGCTTCTCCTTCCCAAAAATGTCTGTCAGCACAAGCCCAGACAAAACTTCAAATCCAGGAAAATGGAATTAAGCCCGCAGATCAAAGGCAGACGAGCAGGGAGATGAAATGCGTAATCTGACCGGTGATCAGTTGCAGAACATCAAAGGAGGCCCGGTTTGCGTGTGCGCAGGGCCAGCAGGAACGCTGGCTTCCAGCAGGTAGTCGCCCTCCCGCCTCCCGGCCCTCGGATTCTTTTGTTTGACCCGGATCGCGTCGTTTTCCTCCTGCTTTCCTGAAGCGAGGCGGGACCCGCGGCTCCCCGGCGCTCGGGTTCCCAAGCTGCGCCGTGACTGCGCGCTGGAAGCTGCGCCTGGTGCCAGCGGGCTGCGCTTTATCCCTTTCATCTCGCGGAGCCGCGGATCCCATGACATCACCAGCGCCGGGGGCCGGGCGGGAGGGGCCCGGGCGGGAGGACTGCAGCCGCCGGTGGGGAGCGGGCTCCGGGAGGCCGGCGGCCCGGCCTCTGACCGCGCTGGACGCCTGCGCCTCGCAGCCTCTGTCCTCTGCTGCCCAGTTGGAAAGCGTGGCCATCGCTGCGGGACGATTTCAGTAGGAAGAGACCCCGATCCATCCTGGCTCCGAATGACAGCCCCTTCCCTGCAGAAATCACAATTCTTCACAGAGACCGGGTGTCAGATGTCCACAATGGTTAAATATATCTATCACTCTACCGCCATTCGGAGAAGCACCAGGGGCACTGCCAGAGGGAGGGTGACTTCTTCACAGTGTTTGTTTTAAATGTGACAAGTCCTTAAGCATTTTAACTAAGCTGCTTTTTCCTTGAAACGTAAATTATTAGGTTTTGACTGCCAATTAGACAGTGGTGCTTTAATTAAAGTAACCAGTGTCTGGTATCTGTCACCTTCTCGCTTAAGCCCTTGGGCATTTAGCCTTGGTCTTAGTTTGGGATTCAGAAAATCAGATTTTAAGGCAACGTGTGCTTCTTGGATGGGTGTAATTCATTAACACCTGTCAAGTACCTAAAAAATCCACAAAAGAAAAGGATGATGTAAAGCCTCGCCCTGTGCTTACCCCAAATCTGTGTTCTCTGCCTTTTAGGGCTGTTTCTCTGAAATCTTCAGTTCCGACTCTTCACTCACTAAAATCATCACATTGGTCTATTTCTTCATAATTTAAGATTAAACCTACTGCACATTATTTAGCATTATCTTAGTATCTTTCCTTAGCAATAGCAGTTTCAATAAAGTAAGATTATCTTATTTTTAGTATTTATCAAAATAGAAAATAATAAAAAATTTCATCTTTTTTTTCCAATTCAGGATACAGTGCATTTCTGAATTCCAGATCACTCTTTTATGGACTGAAGGAAAATTTTTTACTTTCCAATGGCAACTTGCCAACTTTTAGAAGGTCAGTTCAAAAATGTTTGCAAAACTTCAAAGATAATAAAATTTAATTTATGTAGCTTATACAACTTCCCTTCCTAATTAGTTTTCATCAAATTTTTTCCTGATGCAATACTTGAAAATGTGGTTCATGGTGTGTTTATTTCCAGACTTCTATGATGCTCTTTTTGCTTTGAGCAGTTAACGAGCTCAGGGTAACATGTAAATGGTCATTTCCTCCCCCTGCCCGCCAGCATTTCTTTCATAATTTTCCTACCCTACACATCACTTCTCAAAGATGCGCAGAATTCAGGTAGTGTTTGAAGCACAGGTGTGATTCTCTAGGCTGTCTCAAAAGCAGACCAGGAAAACTCCTGTGATACCTGAACTCCACACAATGTTTCCTGGGCAACTCCGAATACAAAGAAAACACTTAAAAGGACAAAATCTCTCCCAGTGGGCACGTGCCCATTTCTTCTCTGAGTCAATCCAACCTTGCAACCAGCATGAAATCTATATTCCATCACACTGCTCTCGGAAGTGAGGTTTCACGATACCCTGACGCAGGAGATCCTAACACCGAGATGCTCTTTGGAGCATCAGGTACATCCTAATGTCTGCACAGAGTTCAAGAGTGACAGAAATAAATAGGTGAGGGACAGAATTAGGATTCTTGTAGTTCCACCAAAGCTGATAGGAGGCATTTGAAAAAAGGGACTCCAATGGAAACCACTCAAATGATCCTCAACCTGCACAAATCTCACCAAGGAAGATCTGTAGTTCGAAGTGCATCTAGCCTTGCAATGTCATCGCCAGTGGAGTTTATTCACCGAGTGGCTGAAAACTATGTTGACTTGGTTCTCTTGCGGCTGACAACCCCTACACGTGAGATGAAAGGGGAACCAGGTTAGGGCTGCATCTGTCGCCTGGAGCAGAGTGGCTAAACGGCCACCTTGAAGGAGGACTGATCCTGACCCGGCCCATGGAGCCCCCTGCATGGTGGTGACACGGCTGCATCCTTGTTCCTTCTGAACAGCTACACCAGGGGCGCTCCTGCAGGAAGCCCCTTCCCCTCCAAGAAGCTCCGATGAGGGCAGGGTATAGCTTGTGGTAGTGTGGATGCCCAAGGTCCTGAGGTAGTGTGGATGCCCAAGGTCCAGTACCTCCACTAAAAATAAATAAACCTAATTACCAGCCTCCCCCCACCCCCAAATAAAAACCAAAAGCTCAGATTAGAGAAATGAAACCTGATCTACGGGGTTAAGAAGTACATCACCACACGCTACGTAAGGATTTGCTTTAATAACGCTGAGCGGCAGTGTTTTACTGCTGGTTCCCAGGCCATGTCATGCGTAGATGGCTTCCTTTGCTCTCCTCTTCGAGGTGTCACCTGGCTGTGTCGTGGGCTAGGCGGCCGTCCGATCTGTTGGAAGGGGCTGGGGCTGCCTTTCACTGCACTTGAGACTGAGGAGACTTCAACTGTTCATGTCCAAGGATGGAGGGGGTCTCATGTCCCCCCTGTTGCCACTATCTTGAGTGGTATTTTCTTCCCCACACCTGAGACGTGCCTCCTTTGTTTCTCCACCTTGATGGGCAAATCACATAAATTCCAAAAGTGTGAGATCTAGGCTCAGGGAACACATCATATTTTTTTCCATCACTTTTCAGAGTTCTTGGGGTTACCTAGAGATCATCTCCAATGCCATCTTTTCTAAACCCTTCTGCTCAGAGAATACATCCTGGATTACAGGTGATAAGCACTGCTTTCTATACATAAATTAGAAGGAATAATTTTAGGATTCATTTCATTTACACACCTGTGTGTGTTTAAAGTAGCTCAATGTTAAGAAAGGGGTATGGACACAGGAGCCAGAAAGTCTTGGGTTCAAATCTTTCTCATCTCTAACTTGGTAACAGTTTGGAGAATTTGGGCAAGCTTCAATCTCACTGAGCTTCGTTCTTCTAAATTATAAGAAAGGGACACCATCTACCCTGTTAGTGTTGATGAGCCAAGCACTTCTGCAGAGTACCCAGCAAATCCCACTCCTGAGTATTTGTCCAACAGAAAAGAAACCACAATCTTGAAGAGGCATCTGCACCCCCATGTTCACTGCAGCATTGTGCACAATAGCCAAGACACGGAAGAAACCTAAGTGCCCATCCACAGATGAATGGACAAAGAAGATGCGGTGTATATATAATGGAATGCTATTCAGCCTTGAAAAAGGAAATCCTGACATTTGCTACAACGTGAACTTGGAGGACATATGTTAGGTGAAGTAAGCTAGACAGAGGAAGACAGACATTGCATGATAATTCCACTCTCTTTTTGCTTTCATAGTTTCTTATGAGAAGTCTGATGTACTTCTTAGCCTTGTTTCTTGATAGGTGAAGTGTTTTTCTTTTCCTTGTTTTTATTTTGGTTTCTAGATTTCTTTCAAGATTTTCTCTTTGTCTTTCGTGTTCTGCAATTTAAATAGGGTATGCCTAGGAGTAGATTTTTTTGTGTTTGTCCTGGTTGGTAGTTTCTGGATTTCCTGGATTTGTGGTTTGGTGTTTGTCATTAGTTTTGGAAAATTCTCAGCCATTATTATTTTAAATATTTCTTCTGTTCCTTTCTCCCATTCTTCTCCTGCTGACATTCCCATTATTTGTGTGTTATTCCTTTTGTAATTATCCCATAGACCTTTTTCATTTTTTTCTCTTTGCATTTTAGCTTGGAAGTTTCCACTGATATTTCTTCAAGTTCACTGATTCTTTGCTTCACTGTGTCCAGGGTACTGATGAGTCTATTGAAGGCATTCTTCATTTCTGTTACAGCATTTTTTATTTCCAGCGTTTCCTTTTTATTCTTTTTTTAGAGATTGCATCTCTCTGCTTCTGCGTTACATCTGTTCTTGCATGTTGCCTAGCTTTTCCATCAGAGCCCTCAATATATTAACCACAGTTACTTTAAATTTCCTGTGTGATAATTCTAAAATCTGTATCACATCTGAGTCTGGTTCTGAAGCTTCCTTTGTCTCTTCAGACTGTGTTTTGCCTTGTCTTTTAACAGGACTTTATAATGTTTGTTGAAAGCTGGACATGACATATGAGGTAATTAGATTTCCAATGGAATGGTGAGAACATACAGAAAGAGACAGTAAAGATAAATGGTCACTTGCATCAGGCTGTACTGGCTTGAATTCCAATATTTTCACATGAAATTCTGAGTGTGAATAATTTACCTTAAACTTCATATTCCTTGTCTCTCAAATTTGGGATAATAAGAGTACTTATTCCTTAGGGCTTTGGTCAATGTTAGAATAGTAATGGCGTGTAGTAAGGATGGAACACATCTGAACTCTCAGCTATTTAAAGTATTGCTTTAAAAAAAAAGTCATTTCTGATTGTAACAGGTAAAAAAAAACTATTTCTCTTTGGAAGAGAAAGGCACCCTGTATTCTGCTTTTTCTAACGATTTCTCACAGTTTGCATTTTGGCAAATAACATGTTTCACAGCATTTGAAAGTGAACAGCTTTGATTTTTTTTTACAGTGCTACTGTGATATTTTAGTATTACATAATCAAAAAGTCCAAAGTGTATCATGACAATTTTCAGAGGAGATATTTCATTCATGTTTGTGTTAGAATTCAAGGTCAAGGATTCATCATTCTTTAGATGAATGTATAAGATTATGAGTAAACTTTTCTCAAAATAAAAAATGAAGTGTAAATTGTGTGTGTAAACTTCAATGATTGAAGTGGACTTTCACATACAAGTGCAGCTGGACAGTGAGTGAGTCCTCCACTATCAGAGGGCAGAGTGCCCCCAAACAGAGAAGATGTTTGGTCCTTCACCAGCAACGGGTATGGAGGAAGGCAGGAGTCACCACGGAGACAGGTGGGATAACAGAAACACAGTAGAGATGGTCTATGTGTGTTGGGGGTAGT